ACTGCACGGGGCGGGCAGACCCACGAAGCCGGGCCGCCTCCAGCTGGGACGCTGTGAGCACTGGTGAGGCCCCCATGGCCTGGCTCGGACGAGTGACTGGCACTGGAGATGTGGCTGCATGAACAGGCCTGTTTTCCTCAATCAAAATCTCCCTCGACTCCCCTACCCCACACCCACCCACCTCCTCCCAGGCCGCCTGGGGGTGGGAATGCCACAGCACGTGGCATGGTCTGAGGACACGCTGTCTGTCCCACTGGGGACCACAGGGGCCCTGGCTGCGCGGTGTCCTCCCCGAGTCTGGTGAGCCCCAGCGAGCGCCCCCCACTCACGTGCTCATCGGAGGCGTAGAGGACCTCCATCAGCCGCTGCACGAGGCTGTCGCTCTCCTGGCCCTGCTCCTGGCAGAGCAGCTCGATCTCCCGCAGCTTCCCGAAGTAGAAGTCCCGCTCCTTCTCCACACCTTCCAGGGCCAGCTTCAGCGAGTGTACCTGCGGGCCGAGGTGGAGAGACAAGCCGCCACCCAGTGTCAGACACGCGGCCACCTGCCAGTGCGGAGCCCAGGACACGCAGAGACAGACGTGCAAACACGCGGCCACCTGCCTGAGCGGAGCCCAGGACACACAGAGACAGACACGCAGAGACAGATGTGCAAACACGCGGCCACCTGCCTGAGCGGAGCCCAGGACACACAGAGACAGACACGCAGAGACAGATGTGCAAACACGCGGCCACCTGCCTGAGCGGAGCCCAGGACACACAGAGACAGACACGCAGAGACAGATGTGCAAACACGCGACCACCTGCCTGTGCGGAGTCCAGGACACACAGAGACAGATGTGCAAACACGCGGCCACCTGCCTGTGCGGAGCCCAGGACACACCGAGACAGACACGCAGAGACAGATGTGCAAACACGCGACCACCTGCCTGGGCGGAGCCCAGGACACACCGAGACAGACACGCAGAGACAGATGTGCAAACACGCGACCACCTGCCTGGGCGGAGCCCAGGACACACCGAGACAGACACGCAGAGACAGATGTCCAAACACGCGGCCACCTGCCTGTGCGGAGCCCAGGACACGCAGAGAGAGACGCGCTTGCAGAAAGCCACGCTGTGCACGTCCGCGGGAGGAACTGTGTGCGGCCTGGGTCTGGGCCAAAACGTCATGTCCAACCTCCAAGCGCAGTCCTTCCCCCGGCAGGGAGTGTGAGTGTGAACAGGGCCTGAGGGGGTTCCGCTGGACACAGCGCCCGCCCGCGGGCTGAGGACACTTCCCCTCCTGCCCACAGGGCCAGGGGGCCAGCCACCCCTTCCTCAGAGCTGCCCCTCCTGCAGGGCGGCGCGAGGCGAGGAGCGACAGGCACGGAGAGGCTGGCGCTGTGGTCACTCAGAAGTATTCTGAGGACGCTTGTGGCTCCACAGCACCTGCATGGAGTCACCCTTAGTTTTGGACCAAAGAGGACAAATGCTCTCTCCTGGGAAACAGGTGCTGACCACACAGGAGAACGGGGGAGACCAAATCCTGGGGAGCGCGTCCTAACTCCAGTCCTGGTGTCGTGGGTGACGGAAAGAAATGGAAGCTCGTTCCCTCAGGAAACAGTGCCCCCTCCTGCTCCGTGATGCCGGCCAAGGACCTTGCGGGCTGTTCGCCCCTCAGGTGGTCACGGACAGCGTGCTGGTGGCTGGAGGGAGGCAGAGCGGGGCTGTCTCGGCTGAGGGGGCACTCAAGGGGTAGGCAGCTCCACTCGGGCCCAAACCATCACCGTTCCTGCTCCGAGAGCTCAATGCCTCTGCCCTTCGTGCGTTTCCTACTCACGCAGAGAATGCTCTTTAGGAGGCAAGTGAAGTCGCCCAAAGGCCCTCTCAGCACACGGAACACCACCTCAGCAGAGTTTCCGAGAATTACTCTGGGATGGAAATTTGTCTCCCTTTGCTAATGACAGAGCCTCCGTGCACGCAGCCAGTCTGTGGGATCAGTGATGCGTCCATATGTACCCTGAGCACAGGCGATGTCCACCCTCTCGCACACCTGGCAGACTCCTGTCCGCGGCCGGGCACCCAGGGGCAAACCCGCATCCATCCTGCAAGACCCAGGCCATGGTCCCTCGGGGCACCTTGCTGATGCCTCTGGGAGCTGCTCGCCAAGCAGCAGGGCACCGACTTGCCACCAGTTCCCGCGATTTCTCATCGCACTGCTGCTTGGACGCTGGTAAAAACTGAAGGCAGCCAGCAGCCTCAATTCCGCGAAAAAGAAACTCCCCTCATTCTCCAAATCCTCTCTTGCTCTAACACAAACCACCCCCCACCCCCACCCCCACATAGGCACGAGGTTTCTGGTCACAGCTGAACAAGGGTGAGGCCTGTGTGCCTCTCGAGCGAGCTCTGGTCTGCGCGATGAGCAGAGAGCTGAGGCCTCGGCAGCGATCCCCAGCCCACGTCAGCCCCTGGTGGTGGTCCAGACGCACTAGGTAATGATGCGCAGCTATAACCATTCCCTAGTAAAACCCACAGGAGCTAAATTATGTGATGAAAGATCAATTGGCAGCTGATTCCCTGCTGGAAGTCCCACTCATAAAGCCCGGTGCCTCCTGCTCCCTCACGCTCACAGCTGGGGGAGGGGGGAGGGGAAGCTGGGGAAGGGCCTCAGGGAGGCCAGGGAAGGACAGGAGCAGCCTTCCCCTCTCCCTCTCTCCCCACCACCCGCTAAGCAGCCCCCCCCCGCCCCCGCCTGGGTGCCAGCTCCCCAGCAACTCCCTGCTTATTGCAGTTGTCTTTCTCCCCCATCCTCTGATTCATTTCCGCGGCTGGACTCGCCTAGTGGTGCTGCACGGTGTGTGGGAGACCGCGTGAACGCAGGCACGGCCGCGGACACATGCGAGTTCCTAGTTTACGGCACCTTCACTTCCTGTTGCTACTGTAACCCACCTCCAGCCTAGGCCCTTCACTCAGCATTCCTGTCCCGCGTCCCGGTTCTAACCCGCTGGTGCCTGCGTGGCTCCCCCCCCACCCCACCCCCGGTTTCCGGGGGGCACCCTGCAGGCTTCGAGCAGTGAGGCATATGGCCCAGCTCGCAGGGCTGTCCTCCCACCTGCCACCTGAGGAGAATGAGATGAGTGTTACCGGGACTTCTGTGTGGGCTCCAACCCAGACGCGCAGGTAACGCGGGCATCCCGGTTTCTAAATCAAAGTCCGACCCGGCGATTACTTAAGACTTTGCCTTTTCCATTGGTGATCAGAATTGTAACGAAACGCCCTAGTTAGCAACTGTCTGCTTTTAAACTAGTTCGTGACTGCAAATGTACAGTGATCTCAAAAACCACTTCCAGACGCCTGCTGGCTCATCAAGCATCAGCTGCATCACTGGGAACGGGCGGAGTGGTGGGAAGGACAGGCCGGGGAGTGGTGGGAACAGGGAGTGGTGGGAATGGCCTGGGGACCTGGATGAAGGCTCCCCGCCCAGTGGGCGGAGCAGCCTGGATATAAGACCATCCTCCTAACCCAGGTTGATGGCTTTTGCAGCGGACCCCTCCCTATCAATTGCTTTATTACTATTAAAACTTTATGAACACCTAAACTGAGAGAGTGACTACTAAACACTGCTGTCTTATACGGGCAGAATTTTTTGTTTGAAATGAAGTTCTAACCCTTCCCTTAAAACACACCCCACATAGAGAGGGTTCAGTGTGACTTCATATAGACAATGAGCTGCTGTCAGCTGGAAAGCACCGACGCTGTCACACAGGGAATCCGAAGGCAGTGCAGCCAGCTTTGCTGGGATCGGGAGGAATATTCGGTGGAAAGGAATGTTCTATCGAAAAGACACTGGGCTTTCTCATCACCCGGTACTGGGCTCAGTGCTCCTGGGTAACAAGTCTCGGCCGCGGGGAAGTGTCAGGTTGTCGCTCTTGGCTGCGTGGTCACCTGCCTGACAGTGCTGTCCGCACGCTCCATGAGGGGAGGGTGGCTGTCCTGCTGCCACATTCCCAGCATCACGCGCAGGGTTGGTCACACACAACAAGCCTGACACCGGCTGAGAGGAAGAGGAAGGGAGACTAGCCCTAAAGCCTCAAGGTCGAGACCGGCCGGAAGTGGACGGACAGGCCGTGGGCTAGAGGGGGCTCCTGACAGACACTCAGGTGTGTGTGTTGGGGTGAGGAGGCGGGTGGGAGGAGGTGGCCAGCAAACCTGCAGTTACCTGGGCCGAGCCCTGTGTCCTGTCTTAACGCAGCTTTGAGATTTGTGATGAACATCTGTATTCACAGTGGGCCCAGACAGTTCCTTTCATTCTTACTTGTCTGCAACCACGGATTCTGCCTCACCTTCTGTGGAGAGCGGCTACAGCATTTGGACAGGTTCAAGCCTCGGACTGACTTGTGGCAAAGCCACATACAAGCCCCAGCTTGGAGGGCAAAGCCCTCCCAGCACATTATAACCAAAAGGCTATGGTTGTAAGCTTGACCTTATAGTCTGACCCTGCAGTCCTAGGTAGCTAAAGGATGTGGGCTGCAAACAGACTGTCACTGTTCCCTCATCCAGGCACAGTGATCCACCTGCCCCAACTGTATTCTCCTGTCTGTTTTCTTTAACCCTTCACCGCCCCTCCTCAGGTTCACCCCTGGCCATGCTGGACGCAGTTCAACCTTCCCTCCCAGAGTTACCCCCTCCCCCCCCAACACCTGTCATGCTCCCACACACGGGGCCAGGGAGGAAGGTGTACCTGTTCATTAAGCTGTAGGACCTGTGTCTCCAAATCTTTGTCCGATTTGGATGCCGAGCCGCTGGAGGAAGCCCTTTTGGCTGATGAGGGGCGAGAAGGTGTGGAGCCTGGTTTAGATGCTGGACTGGACTTAGCTGCACCTGAAAGTGAGCAGAACCAATGATAAACAATGGCAACAGGAAGATGCCGTGTAGACACAGAGCCATTGGGTGATCTAGGAGGAGATTGCTAACAAGTCTAGGAGGCACTGCCAGCGATCCCTGCCCGGAACAGAAGCAGCTCAGATACCGTAGGAAGGACACACGGTAAAATGCAGTGTCGTCTTGGAACTTCCTTAACCCTCTGAGCTCGGGTGCAAGGCGTTTTCCCCATCAAGTAACGTGGGTCAGTGCAGGTGTCCTCCTCCCTCCAGAGAGGTAAGAGTAACAGACACAAAGGGATTTTTAAGCTTTTTTTTTCCTAAGAGGGAAGGTGTTCAGATCAGCTTAAAGTAGCACCATCACTGAGTTTCTACCAAACAAGAAAAAGACCGTATGCTCGATGAACACGTTAGAGGAACTATTAACACCGTGTTTCCTGGCTTTGGTCACGGAAAGAGCGTGGGGACAGCGACACCTCCGTGCAGCGCGCATCCTGGTGCCCCAGTCCTGGTTTCTGTTCCTCGGGCAGAGGCTCCGTGAGAAATGGCTGATGGCCGGGCGGCAGGGAGCGCGCACGAGCTGGGACTGTGCGTGGAAAGCACGGTGCCAGGCTGCGGGGCCAGCTGAGGGCCCCCCACTAGCCACATGTGGGGCAGCTTGCATACAAAAACCAAAAAAGGCTGCAATGTGCTGGAATGCAGTGGTTACACGAGGGTCTAATTACGGGGGAAAGGGCCGGCCGCGGAGACCTTAAGGACACTGACCGTGGAGGAAACCTTAGAACCAGACAGCACAGTCTCCAAGGGATTCAGGAGAGGCTCCTCGACGGCTCGACGACATTAACTGAGATGTTTTGGGGAATGAGTCACACGTGTCAAGGTGTCACCCTATACATTACTTATTTTACAGGGAAAACACGTCTTTACAGCGAAGAGATCGGAGGGTCAGCACCCTAACCACGTGATTCCCAGCGTCGCTACTAATGCTATAAATTGGGGGAAAAGGCACTGATTTCAGGTAAGACCGCACCCCCGGGGCTGGGCTCCTCAGCTCCCCCTCTGCCTAGACCTCAACACAGACACGGAGGTGACCCCGCAGCCCAGCAGCAGGTACAGGGCTATGGCGAGGCTTCTGCACTGCAGGGCTCACTCAGGTCATCGCCGGGCCCACCCCCTTTGTTCTGGACTCGTTCTGACGTGGTGGCATCGGTGGCATCTCGCTGGCGGAGGTGCCCATCCTGTGGCCCGTCCCCAAGTCTCCACCCCGCCCCCACGCTGATGCCTCTGAAGGCCGGGGCGGGGGGAGAGGGGGGCCAGGAGCAGGTCAGCCGGCTTGCAGCCAGCACTGCGCAGTGCTCGGCGGGCCTCTGTGTTGAAGGAACAAATGTTTAATAAATACACAAACAAGCGAGTAAAACCTGGTTGGGGGCTTACAGTTGACCAGTAGCGGCAGAGGGTGGCAGAGGGTTATAAGGTGCTGACAGCAGCTAACAACGTCCAAATGAGCTCTTGATGCCCAGGTAGGAGCAGAGGCTATAAACCGGGGGCCGGCCTGTCCCCGGGCTGGGGCCATTAGTCACAGGGGAGAGCGCCCCCTGAGAAGCGGCAGCGCCTTCCCAGGGGATGTGAGTGACGGACGCCTGGCCGAGTTTAAAACGGGAGCGTCACGTCGGGAAAGACGGGAGACGGCTCTGCTGCTCGAGGGTAACCAGCCTTCAGGGACCTGCGGGAGCCACATCTGGGCTGAGGCTCCCGGGACACCGTGTCCACGGCAGCGGCCAGGTTCCCTGCGTGAAGGCCAGGCCGCCAGGGAAGGAGGCGGAGGAGAGCGGCGGGGGCAGGGGGCAGGGGGCAGGGGGGACCTCGCTGGCCTGCCAGGAGCCCTCCGAGGGCCGCCACCTGCCGCCGAGCGGGGAGGCAGCTTCTGAGAAGTGAGGTTCCTCAGCCCTTCCTGTAAGCAGTGTGTGTGTCACACCGAACACGAAGAACCTGGCGAGCAGACCGACCGTCGGTGGCAGAGGGCACATCCTACAGCGCCCACAGCCTCACGGAGGACCCTGCTGCCCAGAGGCCAACCCACGGATGCTGTGGGGCCTGTACCACCACCGGCCAGTCTCGGCCTGAAGGTGGCGCCTGTGCTTCCTGCAGCCCGTGGACACTGGGCTCAGAGCCCGGCCTTCCCCTGGCACATGGGGTCCCCCTGTATCAGACCCGGCACACGGGGTGCCCTCTATCGGACCCAACACACGGGGTCCCCTGTATCACACCCGGCACACGGGGTGCCCTCTGTCGGACCCGACACACGGGGTCCCCCTGTATTGGACCCGGAGGCCCTGCTGCGGGTGAGCGGACAGGGCAGGGGAGGGGCAGGCCCCACTGGGGTTGCGGTACAGGCCGAAGAAAGGAAGGGATGGAAAACACATTCGGGAACTTCAAGAATAGATCCATTAAATAATTAGTATTTGAAATTTAAAATGAGAGGGATTTCGAAATTCTGATGAAGTTGTTTGGAAAGAAACAGAACACAGAGGGAAATACACATCCGGTGAGTGAGGATCTGAGAGATTCACATCAGCTGCACATTTTACCTTCGAATGAATAAATGCAAGGAAATTAAAGAACAGAAAAAACACGGGGTAGATCCTAGTACCTTCAGAAGTTTAGAGTTTTAAAGACATGCAATTAAGGGTTAAACTAAAAAGCTTATTTCCAAAAGAATCTAAGGTAAGCTCTTCCCACCCAAGCTGCACCTGAAGAAGTAATTCCCCCGCAGCCGGCACGGGAGGAGCTGCACGAGAAACACAACACACGAACGGCAATGAGAAGAACGAGAATCATTTCCTCACCGTGTTTAGTGATTCCTGGTTGGTTTTTTAGGATAAATGATGGTAGGAAGCACCCTACCCGCTACCCCCCTCACCCGACATGAGGAACTGTTTCTGATTCTGGGCTTTAGAAACCGTACTGTCCTCTTTCACACACCACTCTCACGGGCACCAGCTCTTGGGGAGCCACGTGTCTTCCCCACGAACTGGGCCGTTAGTCAGGGAGCTGCCACCTGTGTTCGCGCTTCGTGAAGTGACCCCACAACGTCCTTCAGCGTCCAGCCCTGGGCAGATACTGGGGTCCTTGAAGCCCGATGCATCGGCGACCTCACCCTGTGCACCCCCCAACCCCCCGCCCCTGCCTCTGGGCTCAGCGCTGCTGGGGGGAAACATTCACATGAGCCTTTCTGAGACAGCGGCCGCGGTGGCTGACATGCAGACACAGATTTTTCCTGGAGCCACCAAACATTCCCGTTTTCTTCCAGCCGCGCCTGCCGATGCCCTGAGAGCACCCCGAGTGGCAGCCCTCCGTGACCAGAGTCCTCGCCCCCAGCTTCTCTCCCCCCAATTCTCCCTTCAAACAGGAAGGGGTTTCAGGACAGAAAACAGACAAACGCCGTCCAAGTCCCTGTCATCCTCTGACTTGACCTGACATGATTTCTAACGCTGGCCTCTGAGCGTGGGTCTTGATGAACGCCCTTGCGATTTGGGGCACAAATACGATTCTGCGACATTTTAACTGCAGTGAAACACGGTTTGCGGCCGATTCACCGCCGGGCGAGGCCAGGGCATCGCGGTGTCTCCTGTCAGTAACGAGCAGCTTGCGTAACGTCTGTGGCAAATGCTGCAGCCCCGTGGGCACCGAGGCCTGTGAGCTCGCGATGATGAAGCAAATTAAAGGACTGCGCTTGGCTTGTCCTTCATGGCCGGGCTCTGATGGCATTCTTCTCACATAATCTACCGTAGTCTGTCTGCCAGAATCATAAACGGAAGAGCTAAAAGTACGGCATTAATGCTGCTGACAACAAGCGCATGTGGACAAAGGCACACACCCCCAGTTAGGAAACAATACCTGCGGTGTCCCATGCAGCACGGTGCATTAACAAGAGTTAATGCATCTTGTATACGTGAGAGTTGCTAGGAAAGTAGATCTTAAAAGCTCTCCTCACAGGAGACGGTTGTGACTGGTGGGGGAGGTGTTAGCTAGACTCCTTGGGACGATCAGGTTGCAATCTGTACAAATACCACATCACTGGGAAGCACACCTCCACCAGTTCTATCCCCTAAGAACCAACACAGCGTCCCCCCCCCCCCTCTCCCAGCACTGCGGCTGGCAGAGAACACACTATGTTCACTGTGGGCAGCTCTGACATGACTGTCTTGTCCCTGCACCTGGGCCAATAGATTTTATTTTTCTTTCTTTCTTTTTGGGAGGGAGGGGGTAAATGGGGGGGGGGAGAGAAAGAGAGAGAGAGACATCGATTTGTTGTCCCACTCATTTATGCCGCCACCGGTTGCTGCTTGTATGTGCCCTGACCAGAGTCCGAACCCACAATCTTGGAGTGTCAGGATGATGCTCTAAGTAACCGAGCTACCTAGCCAGGGCTAGATTTTATTTTTTAAACTGAGATAATGAGCTTCGTTAACAAATAAGCACATGAAGCCAGTGCCAGGGAAAGCCAAGGGGCTGGGCGGCTGAGAAGAGGGAATCCCCACGGAAAGGGCCTTAAGTGCGGGACAGCGTCCTCCCACCCCCGCAGCTCTGACCACTGAGCACCAGGGTCTAACCTTCCCACGGAAGGGGCTCGGCTCCTGCACCCTGTGATCCTGTCACTGCTGAGGGCAGCGAGTTCTCAGGGCAATGGGACCGGCAGCGCGGAGCCCGGAGGCGTGGGTCCCTAAGAGGCTGGCTCTTTCATCCTGAAACTAGTTCGCAGCCTCGGGCTCTGTCTCCTCGTGGAACCAGCGGCCACGTCTGGATCCTCCTTTCTGCTCCCTCAGCGTCAGCTCAGAGAAGTGGGCAGTTTTCCCTTCCGAGCGGCTTGGGGCCCTTCAGACCCCGAGCCTGAGCCCAGTGCCCTGTGGGAATGAGGCCCTGGGAGGAGCGGGCATCCTGCATCTTGCCCTCAGGGGGCAGCGGCCAGAGCAGGCCCCGCAGCCAGCGCCTCCCAAGGGTCCTGGCTCTGCT